TATATATATATATATATATATTTTTTTTTTGTACAAGGTTTCTTGTATGCCACTTTTGGTAATAAAAAAGTATTTTTTTCATAGAACGTCTCTATCTGCTCTTGCCAAACCACATCCGGTCTGTTGGCAGAAGTGATGAAATTAAACATGACTGAGCATGATGAACAACCAAGTTCTTCTTAGTTTAGTTAAGTCCTTCCAAACTGCATTGAGATATTTTAAAAAACACATAAATTCTCTATAATATATTAAAGCACACATCTGAATTCAATTATCAGTTAACTGTAAAGTTGTTTTTCCAAGCTACAACAGTGGCATTCATAACATTAGTAGTGTTCAAAGATTAAAAATGAACCTGAATCAGCATTAACATATGCATAATGCAGCATTTACTTACACAATATGAAAACAAAAATCATGAGATAAATTTGATCAAAATTTGATTAAAAAAATCTAAACTTGATTTTCCTAGAATATTCTGAAGATTATTTTCAATATGAAGACACTAAATTGGGGCTGTCAAACTCCTATTCAAAAATGACAAGTTGCCAGTCTTTTGAAGCCATATGATAGATGATGTTTCATGAAGAAAGCAAGTAATATGGGTTCGGAGCAACATGGAGTAAATTAGGAAATAACTTTCACTTTAGGGTGAACAAATCCTTTCATTTGTACTCATTCTGTCCTACTAAACCTTCAGATGGACAAAAACTGCACTGCATTGTTTCCCTGCTCCCCTATGAATTGAGGAGCGTGTGCCACTGGCAGACCTGCTGTCCCTCTGACTCCTTCATCTGGGTCCAATGCTCCTCTTGTTCCTCTGTGGTGCTGTTGAGGCCCAGAGCGACCCAACCCACCCGCTCTCTCCTCTTCATGCTGCTCCGCCGACTGTACACCGACACCTGCAGGGTGACCTCAGACAGCTGGAACAGCGCCACCTGGAAGACAAATGTCTCTTTGTAGGTTGGGTTGGGCTGGCCACGGCAGACCGAGGTCTTACATTTGGACATCTCTTTCCCTTTGGAGTCCAGCATTGTAAGCTTCACGTAAGTGTCTGATGGAAAGGGAAGGGAAAAAGTGAGTGAGCCCCACCTGTTGGTGATGTTGAGCTCATGCACCAAGTTAAACACAGGGGCTATGTTCAGATAGGAGTACTACTACTGTGCAATATATACTGTATCCAGCATATAATTGCAGTACATTATCACATGACCTCATCGTGCATACATTTCCATGCTATGCACAGTATACTCTATACTGCAGCAATAGAAAAAGTTGTATGATAGCACACTACTAAAAGCCACTGAGATATTTGGCGAATCATGATTTACACACAAATCATACTATGTATTATGCCAGATTAAAGCAAATGCCAAATTATATCACATTGGCAATCAGTACCCTTATAACACTGTTTCTGGTGGATTTTCCAAGTATGCATTCATGAATGCATTTTGAGCTAACATTGCACAGCTGCTTGCGCAACAAAAAGTACTTTCAGAGGTTTGTCATGAACATTTGTGTTGTTGAAAAACTGATCAGTGAATGTGAGGTGAAGCTGCTTTAGCAGTGTTACAATCTATGAACTTTAAATCGTTATGGATTTTTTAGGGTAATGAGGTTAGCAAGATGCTAACAACCAGAATGAAAGTTAAGCTTACTTTGACACCACCATTGCAGTTTGTAGTTAGTACAAGTGGAGTAATACCGAGTATACACGATTCTAGGCCCCATTTTCACTCGCTGACTGTTTTCTGGTAATCGCAGACAAAAGCCCCAAATCTCAGGCCAATCAGTGCTCATTCAAGTGAGTGACGATAGGATAGTGTGAAATACTGAAGACACAATCTGAGTGAAGTGCCAATGCCAAACCCAGTCTCTTGCAGTGTGAAATGTGTTTTGACCGGAAATTACATCGGCAACAACCTACAGCCAATGAAAGAGCAAGATATTGGGCAAGGGAAATTTCAAGGGGAGGAGTTGTAGTCTTACAGCATTCCCTGTATCATTTCGTGCACATGGGTTTTGTAAACAAGACTGCGTTGTCAGGGATTCTTTCTAATGAAATATTGTGTAATATGTAAACCACAGAAACTTCATGATACCCAAAACATGTGATGTGGTGTGAAAGGAACAGTGATCCAGCAGCTTTAAAAATTGTGTAGTGTATGGCTGCCATTAGTATGCAAACTAGGATTCGCTACTGGTGAGTTAGTGATTTTTAACCACTCATAAATATCCCCATGTCTCTACCACCCTTTAAAACCCACTGAAATAGGTGTCCTGAGAAATCGCACTTTCTGCATATTCTGGCTAATCGGATGACTGAGAAATCGAACCGTTAGCATTCCCATTCTCGATGGCAGTTGCTTTGGACCCAGAAGTATGCGACTGTGCTGAGCTATAAATGCCATGTGACAAATTATTCTAGAGCTAGAGCCACAGGAAAATAACGTCCAGCAGTGACTAACAGGACCATACTAACTAGCCAAACCTTACCTCCTTGGTTTGCTGGGTTTCTTGACATGTCTTTGAAGGGCTATTAAATCTGGTTAGTAGCCCTTCAAAGACATGCCAGGAGGGCAAAATGAATTCACAGCAGATTTATACATAAAAAATATTGGTATTGTCCTCCCAGCGAGATTTGGGGTTAATTTACTGTAGACCTATGTCCAAACATTTTAAATGTATTCTACAGGATTCTACAAATCTACAAAGGACAAGGAGTCTACAAATACATTGCAAAGAGACTTGACTGAACACACAATGGCAGTAAAATGTAGATGCAGTTGAGTAAAGCAGACAAAGTAGGAGAGTGTTAAATGGGTGGTTTTGAACTTTCGACATGGCAGTAAACTTACCTCTCATGATATATAGTTGCCCACTAATGAAGCGTTTTACACAACAAAACAGGCCAACTACAGGACAGGACACAGAAAAAAGGGAATATGATAGAGTCACAGATAAAAGGAGAACAGTTCAGTTACAAGCAGAACACAGAAAAAGCATTAAGAATGCACATGCATGAAACAAGTTTGCTTTTAAGAGGATTAAGCAGGTGGACTCTTGCATTTCTTACTGGGCAGTTTATCGGTGGCAGAGTTTTTAAAATGGCTGCCTTTAATAACCTCGGCAGACAGTCTTCCTGTGGTGGAGTTGTAGAGGAGACCCAACAGAAGCTCTGGAGTGGAGGATTCACCAGTGGAGTGGTATGACAGAGCTCCCACACTACGAGAGACACTCACCACTGATCCACAGACCTGACGAATAGTAATATTAATGGATTACTATTACAAAATGGATAGTTCTAACTCTGAAATCGTATTGGCTATGGAAAAAGTATACTGCATGCACACAAACACTGCTTACAGGAACGGATGTGCCAGGTTCTAGTGTAACAGGCAGAGCAAGCTTGCCCTGCAGATTGAGTTTGGTTAAGTAGAACACCTTCTCCCCTAGGACCTTCTCCTTCTTCATGCGCCGTACACTGTAGAGACGGAACCGGACTGCATAGTCCCCCAAGGCCTCCTTCTCCACGCATGAGAACCGAAATGTCTCTGTGAAGACGGGACAGGGTCCCTTCTGGACTCCTGTCTTGGCCCTCTGCTTCTTGGTGGGCAGTAGAACCAGGTGGACCTGCCAGGAAATGTTCCCTGTGCTCCTAAGGGTTGGAATATCTGTGGCAGCGGTCACTGTCACCGCAAGTCGTTGTTCACTGGGGTCATATTCAAATGCCACATCCAGTGTACCATATTTCCCCAGTGCCTCTGGTTCATATGTTTCTGGAAGGGGTGGGAGTAAGCTGTCCTGTCAAAGAAAGGGAAAGACAGGGCAGATGGGATAGAGGAAATGGTAATTTATGGATCTCCATTTAAAAAAATAAACAGGTCAAAGTTCTTGAGGGTGCCTGTGTTGGTGACAAGGTGGTCCTATAAAGACAATTAAAGAGGTCATATCATAGATTTTTTTAGTTATCTTCTTGATGTCATAATTTTCTTTTTATGGACGTTTTCCAATCTGCCCATTTAGTTGTGCATCATAATCCACACCGAAATGTCACTGAAACGGTTAAGATTGGAAATTAATCATCAGGAACCTTGTTAATAATAAAGGTTAGCAGGTCTTTCCCATTGTTAGGAGCCATCGGACGGATATGCAGAGTTGCAGGTGCTACACACATCCAGGAGAAGTAAAACGTTTGGCTAACTTTAAATTTTCCAATAGCAAAATGAACATGGATAGTTTGGAAACACTGAATAGAAATCATTGGTATGTTGATGTTCATGTTTTGAAATGTATTAATTTGACATCAGAAAGTTATTAAAGTTTAGAATGCTGTTTTTGCAGCTTAGTTTCAATAAATGCTCTTTTTGGACTGGGAAGTAAATTTTGAATACTGAGTTACTGTATATAGTACTATGAAATTTTGCCTCCAAAGATCAAGGAATATGATTCCTCATGATACGACGCCCACCGAAGTAGCCTGGCTTCATGTATAGTACAAGAAGTCTATGTCAGTATTCAGGCTTTTAGTGTCTCCAATCACAGGCAAACTCAAAGGCAAACTTACCAGATGTGGCCAGAATGAGCCAAACCCCAGCCTGAGAATCCTTGAACTGTTCTCCTTGCTCCTCATAATTAAAACCATCAGTGAAATGACTCATGTGACAATGAAATGAAATTTTAATAATCAGCTGAAAACATTACTTCACAAGAGTCTAAAAGAGAGGACACTAGTGAATGGGAATCCAAACAGACAGGGAAAAAAAATAATTGAAGAGAAATTGATGACAGGCGTCTTAGTTTATCAGTTTGGCATTGCAAAAGCATTATTGTGGATGAACACACTCTGACTTAAAGAAAACAAAATGGATTTAAAAAAAATCTCATGTCAAAAAACATGGGATTTGTGAAAAAAAAATGTTTGCAAATATTTGTCTCTACATTAACTGCAGTGAACAGCTCTCTTGGAGACATATTAACAACACTGTGTGTGGATTTCATCAGTTTCATTGGTGAATAAGAGCATCTGTAGGTAGGACCGTGATTCTCATAGAAGAACACACCGGAAACGACGGGCCGAGTCGCTCACCTCCGGGCCCAAAACAGCTGTGCTGTCACTGGGAGCGTCCTCATCACAGCCCTTATTCAGGTAACTCTCTGTGTCCTCAGGGTCTTCACTGCCCTCGCTGATCTCACTTCCACTGCCCTCTGCTGAGTCACTGCGGCCCCTTGAGCCACACTTGAGATCGTCTTTGTCACGGTACGGTGGAGGCTGAAGTTCATTCAGGGAACTTGAACCTTTTTTCCTTTTAACTGGATAGTGAGACAAAAATGCAATAAGATTACATCCTGATTACCACATAATTAAGAGTATTTCATCAGACGGTGTACAATATTTTACCCTGCTCAGCAGAGGCCTCACTGCTGCAATCCTCATTCTCAGTATCCTTGTTTCTCCACCCACTTCTCTGCTGATGAGAGTCCTTGTGTCTATTTGGAATTTCGTCCTCACTCTCAGATGATCCTTTCTCTGGACAACCCCCGTCTAAGAAAGAATGGAGATCTACAATTTCAGATTCTAAAAATGCCCTAAAATATCCTACTGTAAACCTTTTGCCGATCCGTGATATGAAAAAGGAGAAGGAGTGATTATTAATTTTCCTACCCTCTTATAATTTCAAACTCACTGGTATTTTAAAACAAATATTTTAAGAATCTTTACAGATTTCATAGCTACCGGCTTCAAAAAGAAAAAAAAAACACACACACACCTAAAATAAAATCTTCATGATCGATATGATAGTTTCATATGAAGTACAAGAGGCAGAGTCAAGACAGAAAAAAGGGACAGAAATTTAAATAATTCTTCACTGATAATCTAGCGAATTCTCCCCAGATGCTTGCAACTAGCCTGCATTCGCATCCAGTATTAAAAAAATTCCTACTTTTGTGTTTGATGAAAAAAATAAACAGCTTTAGCCAGTTTTGGCACAACATGAGAGTAACATAATTTTTAAAGGTGAAGTGTTTAATTTCTGAGACAAAACTACTTACACCAAACACAAAAGTAATGACTGTTTTCAAACAGTTTTCCCACACTCTCCTACTCCAAACCTTTAAACACACTCCAAGTCCACTTCCACTGTTCGAGGAAACAGGTAGCACCACCACAAAACTGATATCCTTTGTTAAATTAGAAGTTGACAAGTTGGCTACAGTGTTCTACTCTTCAAGAAGTCAGCCAATAAATGGCTTAAAGTCATCTCTACATGTCAAATTGGGATATGAAAGTATTTCAGCAGTGAAAACATTACACACTTCACCTATAAACAGGAAAACATCAGTAAAAGCAGGGCCGTCAATAAAATTCACAAGGTCTGGGACATAGTTTTTATAGTTCTCCACCATCTTCCCTGGGTCCAATGAGTACGCCAGTGGTGCTCATTCCTGTTCTTGAAGATCTGATTTTCTAAAGAGTTAAGTTCCAAGCCTGCTTTAACTTAAATATTTGTAATTATCAAGTGTTCTTTAAAGTCTTTGGTAGCTGTTTAAGATGTTTTTTTAATTAGGGCTGAACTATGCTGGAAGATAGATTTCCAGGTACAAGACTGAGCAAGATAGGCTATAGACCAGTGGTTCCCAAATTTAGTCCCCCAACTCTGCACATTATGGCCGCATTCATCATATGGTTCAAGTGACCTAATAACAATTTTTTCCTCCCATACAGCACAGATCGGATATGACCCATGAACATGTAAGCAGGAAAAAAGTGAATGGATTCTGATATTCTCAGATCGATTTTGGGCTGGGGTACTCTGGGACCACGTTTGAGAACCATTGCCATAGAGCAGGGGTTTTCAACCTTTTAGGACATGCGCCCCCCCAAGTTTGTCTAATTTCACTTGAATTCAAAATTACTTTAATGTTTAAACTGACAAGACTTAAAATGCGTGAGAATAAAAAGCTTTCTTGAGGAAGCAGCACTGGCCTGATCGTTAAGATAGTTTTGGGGGGCTAAGGTGACAGATAGGGGGGCTGAAACCCACCTAAAAAAGGTTTAGAACCGCCCCTGGTATAGCGTGCGTAATTATACTGAAACATAAATATATAACCAGTTTACCTGATTTAATGTGATGGCTGAGCCGGTTTCTGAGATAACAACATGCCAATCCGTGGTTGGATTTCCGACATGGCTAACCGTAAATCATCTTACACTGTCAATAAGCGTGACTGATACTCCAGCCAACTCTGCTCTAACTGTCGACTAGCAGTGGGAGTCAGATTGCCCCCTTGTGGATTGCTAAATATTTGCTAACTCATATTCATAAATCCTCAAGGGAATGTCTCTGAATTAACTGATGCTCATATGGTTCAAGTGACCTAATAACAATTTTTTCCTCCCATACAGCACAGATCGGATATGACCCATGAACATGTAAGCAGGAAAAAAGTGAATGGATTCTGATATTCTCAGATCGATTTTGGGCTGGGGTACTCTGGGACCACGTTTGAGAACCATTGCCATAGAGCAGGGGTTTTCAACCTTTTAGGACATGCGCCCCCCCAAGTTTGTCTAATTTCACTTGAATTCAAAATTACTTTAATGTTTAAACTGACAAGACTTAAAATGCGTGAGAATAAAAAGCTTTCTTGAGGAAGCAGCACTGGCCTGATCGTTAAGATAGTTTTGGGGGGCTAAGGTGACAGATAGGGGGGCTGAAACCCACCTAAAAAAGGTTTAGAACCGCCCCTGGTATAGCGTGCGTAATTATACTGAAACATAAATATATAACCAGTTTACCTGATTTAATGTGATGGCTGAGCCGGTTTCTGAGATAACAACATGCCAATCCGTGGTTGGATTTCCGACATGGCTAACCGTAAATCATCTTACACTGTCAATAAGCGTGACTGATACTCCAGCCAACTCTGCTCTAACTGTCGACTAGCAGTGGGAGTCAGATTGCCCCCTTGTGGATTGCTAAATATTTGCTAACTCATATTCATAAATCCTCAAGGGAATGTCTCTGAATTAACTGATGCTCACACTCCACAGGTTGAAAACCCCTGCCATAGAGAACCCTAGTTGGCCACCATGGTCACATGACAATTTTCCCTGGTTGTTCTCCCAATATGACGGCCCTGGTCAGGAGTAAGACAGCAAATATTATAAAGAGAAAGGTCCATTTGTGTGTGTCCTTGGTTGAAACCTAGTGTGGAATGAAGGGAACAATGAAAAATCAAAGAGAACTGGTGATATAGAACCATCCCGTTAGAAAAGCACAACACAGCAAGTCCAGCATCCAGTCTCACCTTTACCTCCTTTGTATTTTTTTCTGCCTGTATCATCTTCCTCAACACTATTGTGCTCTCCATTCTTTTCATACTTTGATGCTGATGTATCAGTATCACCAGACATTTCCTGAGAGTCCTGCTTTTTCTGACTATTACCTGGGTGCATCCCAGTAGCATTTTCATTGTGGTTGTCACCTTCCTCCTTGTGTTTGCCAGACGAGGAAGCGTTCTCTTCCTGAGCGACAGACTCTGCCTCTTTTGATGCTTGGTCATTGTTCCCTTTCTGGATTTCTGAGGTCGGAGACAAGCTTTGTGGTTGGTTTGGGTCCCTCTTTTTACGATACCAACCTTTAGCGGGGGCGTAACACCACTCCCACTCCTCCTCCTCAGTTTTTCTTGCTTCCTCTTGTCTTTCTTTCTCCCTCTGGTTTTCCTCTTCATTTATTTCAATAGTCCACATAGAGTTCTTTTTCGATTTTCGGCTCTTCCGACCTTCTCCTTCTCCAATGTCCGCAGCATTACCTTCTGTCTCCTGACGCTTCAGCTTGCGGTTCCTCCTCTCTTTTTGGACTTCTTCAGAAGAACCCTCAGCCTCCTCTTTCCCGGATTTGTCATCCTCTTCGGTCATTTAAATATCAGCCACTAAGTAGTAGAAATTGTGTTGTTTACACAGAGGTCTTCCTTCTTATAGTAACGCAATCCTTTGTCGTGAATTAATAATGACGCTTGTTTTTGTTCACCAAACTTGATAGGTCATTCATAATTGATAGAAGTGTGGGACAAGGGAGGTGAGGGGGTACAAAAATATTTGATCTATTAAAAAGGATAAAGCACTAACACAATTAATATTCAGGAGCAATTGGTGCATGTTATCATGGATGAGGAAGATGCTCTCACCTCTTCTAGCGCAGATGAGTTCATGAACACCACAGCTCCGCCCCCCACCTGAGGACAGGAAACAGCACTTGCAATCAAGAAAGTGCCTACTAACTCTCTTTGACGTCATCGACTTGACAATTCTACAATTCTACATGCGCAATACGAGGACAAAGTTCAAAATACTTAGCTGTTAAAATGTTGCCGGTGACAGTCATGATATCTCTCTTACGCGCACTTGTGACACTGTCACACGTTTTAATCCACTCAATATGTATTATGATGATTTTATACATATTTGAGTTTTATGGATTTACATGATATCTTAGCCATTGTATTCCTCTGACCTGTTTTAATGTGTGTATGTCTTTAAATGAGTCTGGGTCTGCCTGTCACGAGACTGATCACATGACAGGAAACAGGAAATGGACAGTATAATGGAGGCAGGATGACAAGCGAACACTCTCCCTGCATCCCAATGTTTCATAATATCCATCCTAAATAGTAAGTGAGATTAGAATAAGTGTGCCCCAAAGCATAGTATGTTGAAAAGAGTATGCCAGAAGGCCCCGGACGGTCTACTATTTCAGGTAGATTTTTGACGTGTGGATCCATGCACACTCTAATGGCTTATAATACCCACAATCCATTGCACTTTGACGAAGGATTCGGTTGAGAACTACAAACACAAATAAAAAGCATAAAAAAACTACAAACATGGTGGATGTGCGCGACCTACGGTTAAGTAGAGAGGTTTAGATAAAGGGGTTTAAGTTACTAATAATCAACATTTAACCTGTTAAAAATACGTATTTAATGTTATCGGTGTTATATTTCATCTGCAACAGCAATGTAAACTTTTATAAACATCCATTTTGGTCGTTAACTTTTAAATGCATCGTTAAGTAGAAAATATGGGCAGAGTTCTCCACATAAAGACCCGCGGCTGGCAGATCAGCGGGCTACTTCTTTTCTCTCCAGTACGGTAGGAAGTTAAATGAAATGAAGTGTGGAGGATGTTAACTGTGTTTCAGGTAGATTTTTGAAGTGTGGATCCATGCACACTCTAATGGCTTATAATACCCACAATCCATTGCACTTTGATGAAGGATTCGGTTGAGAAATACAAACACAAATAAAAAGCATAAAAAAAAACTACAAACATGGTGGATGTGCGCGACCTACGGTTAAGTAGAGAGGTTTAGATAAAGGGGTTTAAGTTACTAATAATCAACATTTAACCTGTTAAAAATACGTATTTAATGTTATCGGTGTTATATTTCATCTGCAACAGCAATGTAAACTTTTATAAACATCCATTTTGGTCGTTAACTTTTAAATGCATCGTTAAGTAGAAAATATGGGCAGAGTTCTCCACATAAAGACCCGCGGCTGGCAGATCAGCGGGCTACTTCTTTTCTCTCCAGTACGGTAGGAAGTTAAATGAAATGAAGTGTGGAGGATGTTAACTGTGACAAGATGATTGACAGGCCAGGTTTACAGTGACAGGGTGCGTGTATCTATGCGACAGAGCGTCCGTTAAAGATGCAATTGTATGATATGATAGTATGTCCCAAAGCTTGCCTACTCTTCTACTACACACTCAAAAGTGTGTACTTTCTCCTCACCAAAAAAGTACATACTTTAAGGGCGTAGAATAAGTAGGCACATTAGGACGCAGCATCTCTGACTTACAAATGCGCTGGCGGTCACCCATACTGGACTGTGGAGTTTTATTCTGACTCACCTTTCCAGATACAAGCTTTTGGACTTTTCATCCTCATGTTGTTCAAAACCTATATGATTTTGTTATTTCTTTGGAAACACAAAAGTATGTCCTGCTCAGTCTTTTTTTTATGCAATGAAAATACCTGAACACTCAGGCCTACTGGATTTGTCAATTAATCATTCAGATCAGTTTTGTGAATTAAAAAAAGTTTTTTTTTTTTTTTTTACAGTGTTATTAAATCTAAAGATAAAAATAGTTTTCATATACTGAAATAAAATAATAATAATTAAAAAAAAATCTTAAGGGAAAATTAGTAATGGACAAGTTTAAGATTTAAGACTAAAACTAAAACCAAAATAGAAAGCTAGTAGAAATGAAATATCAAAATTCCCCCTTATTTGGTCTATGTATCCCAGCATCCGCTGTGCTGAATTATTTTGTAATGTTTTTAATTATTTATTTTTTTAATGATACTTTTACAGTAACTACTGAGTCCTGACATCTTCAGTTCATGGTCATTGTTTTGATGGAAAAGATCAACCATGGCTTTCTTCAAAATTTCTCATTTCTTGTTTCACGGAAGAAAGTCAGAACAACATGAATGGGAGTAACCACATTTACTTTTTGCATGAATTATCACTTTAACAACTATTTCACCATATTATTGCCAGTCTCTTTAGTTAGAGTTGATACTCAGGCATTTCCACTTCTATTTTTCAAGAGTATTAGTTATTTAGGTTATTAAAGGTGTCTTCGGATTTTAACATTTTGCGTTTTCACCATGTAAGCTATTGGTCTTCATAAACACACTAAATACAAAAAATTATCATGGTATTGCCATGTTTTGGTCAGGGTAGAATGAGTATCTTTAAATTGAAATAGCAACATGTCAATATCATGTTATCATTCAGTACCATTCAGTATCATTCAGCTAAATATTATTAAAGCTGTGGCCTATTTAACGTCAAAATCCTTCAGGTATTTTATTATTATTATTTTTTTTTACTAATGGCAAAACACACCAGATGACAATGCATCAGCGAGTAGCTAAGCCTTCTTGTAGAATTACAAATACAACTTCATTGGACCACCTGGCGGGTCAAAGACATGGATAACAGATGGAGACCGCGCTCACATGCTGCTATAAAAACACTGACCATTTCATAACGCGACGACATCATATCAACAAAGCAGACTATGAATTCAAGATATTTCTGTCTTTGCACATGCATTTTTTTTTCAACGACTTTACTTAATTAAAAAAGCGTTATTGTATTGCACTTAGCTGTTATTTCATGCAATACGCTTGCATTACTTTATATGGCTGTGTCCGCATTAGCACAAACCAGCTAATGACCAAAATGCATTAAAACTTACACTTAATAATATAATAAAACCGCTTACGTCTAACACCCCTAATCGTCTCGCGCAAAAGTACGTTCAGACCCACCCAGTTATATGTTGTTAGCTATAAAGATCACGGTGTACCCTACCCACGCTGGTCAGTGATGATACTCACCCTCAAACGCCATGATGCTGTGAATGGGACGTGATAAGGGGTGGTGTAGAGAGAAAGTGTTTCCATGCTGTTGTTGAGAGAATGCACTGGGACAGTGATGCATGCTGCAGCGCGCGAGACGAAAACATAGTCTACACTGTAAAAGTGACAGCGTGCAATTGTAAGCTTAAGAAGCTACTTATCATAACGCTTAAAAATGAGTCGTGTTAGGGGGTGAATGAGGCAAGCTGGTTGATATCAGCAGCGGTTCCGAGTAGCTATCAGCACGGCTGTGATTCAGTCATATGCAGAAGCTTGCAGATATGCTGCCTGAAGTCCTATAGAAATGATAATGTTGGCTTTAATTTAGTTTGAGCTACTTTTTAACCATTCACAGTAAAGGTCTCTTGTCAGAAGTGGGATTTGAACCCACGCCTCCATTCGGAGACCAGAAACCTCAGCTTCTGAGAAGGTTGTATTGTCTTGAGTCTGGCTCCTTTGACCACTAGGCCACTCTTACAGCTGTGGTAAAGCACTTGATGACCAATGTTGGCACATAGTGCGCAAATGATATCACTTATACAGTAAACACAACACTTTTCACAACTTTGTATTTTGGTTGCAATTGGATTGTTGTTGTTGTACAACGTAAAAAAAAAGTAACCAAACGTTGTTGAAAATACCAACCTGGTAGGCCCATGTTTTCTTTAAGTAGTCAAAAAACGTAAATGTCCGTTTTGTCTGCTACGAAAAGGAAACTAGACCAATCTGCAACTTTTGGGAGACGTTTATTCAGGTGTTAAAATAACTAATCTGCACGTTGGAATAAGACGTTTAAAAAAAAAAGTCATTACAGTACCAAAACACAACTATATGCCAAATCTCCTATGGTAGGTTCTGTTGGTGTAAAAATATCAGTAAAATAACTAACATTTTATCATTAAAGGGGTCGTATGATGTTGCTAAAAATAACATTATTTTGTGTATTTGGTGTAATAATGAAATGTGTTTATGCGGTTTAAGGTTCAAAACACATATTATTTTCCACATACTGTACATTATTGTTTCTCCTCTATGCCCCGCCTTTCTGAAACGCGACGATTTTTACAAAGCTCATCGTTCTGAAAAACGAGGTGTGCTGTGATTGGCCAGCTATCCAGTGCGTTGTGATTGGCTGAATACCTCAAGCGTGTGACGGAAATGTTACGCCCCTTACCATACTGTGATGCCATATCCAGGCCGGAGCGACGAGACAAAAACATTAAAACCCATTATAAACGAGGCATTTGCATCCAGTGGGGACATAATTACGGATTATAATGACTTATACTGTCTTTTTACGTGTTGCGTTGCATCGTGCCACGTAAACATAAAACCATGTCTGCATTTGTGATCGGAGAAATGACAAACAACAAGTGCTACTCTACACTGCTCAAAACTCGCGTTTGAATCATCAGTGGCAAATTCTTTAAATATAAAAAATGTACTTACAGACTGTGAGTCAGAACAGCCGGCATTGTAGTCTACTCTCCCAGGATCAGGAAACAGTACTCCATAAAATGCGCTGGACACATCTGAATATTTGGGTTGAACTGTTCTGGAACAGTGTTGTAAATACAACTTAACTACTGATTTCTAGTCGTGTCCTCTTTTGGAAGGCCAAACAAAGTAGTTTCGCTTTCACAACGAAACACACAGCGTCACACACGGCGGGCTAGAGTGAGCGGAGGCCGGCGGGTTAGAGTGAGCGGAGGCGGGCTATATATATGTGTGTGTGTGTGTGAGCGAGAGAGAGAGAGAGAGACAGGGTCTATAAGAGACATACGCTTATAACACAATGACAGATGACGGACCATATCATTTGCACGTGCTTTTGCGTCTTGAGAACTCACTCGCGTGCTCTCATTTTCTGTGCGCCCACAGATCGCGATAAGGAGAGTGACAGCTTTGAATAATTATTAAATGAGTTTGCAAATGTGATATTGATTTAATACAACAGTTCAATAAACAAGTACTGCCTGATTTTGCTCTATTTCATCAACGAAATAGTTCCAAATAAAGTAACAGCTCAGCCGCTGCGCATCTCTAAAAGCAAACACAGCGGTGTTTCATTCATGAATGAAAGTGCGTTTTTGAACGAATCTAGTGAGTCAGTGATTCATGATTACCCATTCATAAAGACTTGTTTCATTCCTGAATGAATCAGCCGTTCAAACGAATCAATTGAATGAATGATTCAGTGATAAAATCAGTGACTTGCCGCCACCTGCTGGCGGTTTCAGTTTCATTTTTAGGTAGCCTATAATTTCAGTTATTTAAATCATTTAATATTTCTGTTTTCAAAATGTTATATTTAAAACATTAATCTAAACATGAATTTATGAATTTAATTGCACTCATGCCATCTCTGAGCCTCATTAAACGTCTGAAAATGTACCTACAAGCCACTTTTGTGTTCTTCTGTGCACCCTCTTTAGTACAAATTATTTTTTTATTAATACTAATTTCATATGATTGGTACCGTATTTGTCTTATTCTACTTCTTATTATATATATATATAAAAAATACCTGTAAATCACTTTAAGGAGTCATATATCACCTGATATTAGGAAGGCTAATTTTTTATTATTGATCAGAAGGTGCTCCTAAATTTTTTTTAATTAGGAGGACAAGCACTCCTAAAAGGAAAAGTAAGCATAGAGCCATATATATCAGTATATTAGATCCTGCATGAGGTCTTAAAGAGACAGCAGCCTAAATAAACCTGCTGCTGTCTTTCATTATACAGTGAAGACTATCCAGTGTTATTTTACAGTTGAATAGATTATAGTTAGACCTAACTGAAAACATTTATTGTTATTGTTTGTGCTATTGATTGTCATTAATTTATTTCTTCTTATTTTATTATTGACTATTTACTTGTCTTTTTTAGTTAAAATAAATTCAATTCTGAGTGCATGTGATTCTTGGGTGGGGAGGGGGCGTGGTCCATGAGAAATAGTCCTGCCACCACAGCTGGAAAAAAATCCTAGGAAACACTGCATGCATTTAATAAAATTAAGAAAAATGCATTTACAAAGGTAAAAAGAAAATGCCCCTGAAATCACTTTGAGTCAAATGTTTCATTGACTCAGTTCATTTGAGTCAGAATTTTTTATTATTGATTAGAAGGCGCTCCTAATTATTTTAAATTAGGAGGACAAGCGCTCCTAATTACAAGAAGAAAAAAATGCTCTTAAACTGGGTGTGTGACGGGTATGGCTGTGGAACAGGGTTTGGCCGAGGAAAACATTTCAGTCAAAGGATTTTTTTTTGCTTTAACCCCATAATTTTCTCACATCAGGGAGCCGCTATCAATATGCGGGTATGAAATCGCATTTGAATGAGCGCTCGCTGTTCACTTTCACTTTTGCAATCACACGCACTCTGTGTAAAGGGATCACATCTTACATCGCGTGCATAATTATTAGGCACGTTGATATTCTGATCATATTTTTTTCCAAGCACATTTGACCAATTCCAATTCCAAACCACATCAATCTTAATAACTACTATTATTTTTGTATTTAATCATTTAGAAGTGATATATAATTGTTCATGAAGGCTGGAAATGAAAAACTCCTTATTAAGGTGTGCAGAATTATTAGGCATGTTTTCTACGGATGAAATGAGCCAAAAAAGAGATTTAACTTTTTAAAAATGATTAAATCCCCATGAGAAATATTAAAAACTAATGCAATACAGAAATGTCAAAGTTAAGGCATGACCATTGGACAGCAAAATGCTCATTGGGTCAGCGGGGTCAGAAAAAAACAGGTGGAGAAGGAAAAAAATGCATGTTAACTGCAAAAGACTTAAGAATTCATGTGAAGAATTAAGTATGAAACCATCAAGAACCTTTTAGTCTCCAGTGACACCATTTTCCAGAACTGCAAACTTGAGTCTCCAGAATTACAAGGTGACAGGTTCTCAGAGATCTTACTTGGGTAAAACATCCTAAAAAATGACCCCTACTTAATAAGAATAACATTCTGAAGTGTTGTGAAATACATGAAGACTATTTGTATAGGCTTTATGGACAGATAAGTTGAGAGTGACTTTTGAAGCATGCCAGCACCACATCCTCTTGTACCACTGATCTTCCAGAATCTGGCAGTAAGTTTTAGGAGCTCATTTTTGTCAGTCTCTGCAAGACAGACTTCTCAGGATAGGAGATGGACTAAAAATGCACTCCCAAAACTTACTGCAACATGGAGCTAAGGAGAAAATTTAGAAATTGGAAAAACAGCTTAGTGAAAAGCGTTTACAGTTTAAAAGCAAATAGAAAGTCCTATTTTTTTAATATATATTTGCGGATTTGCACATGTACAAGGTTTAAAATGTTCATGAAATATTTTCAAAAAATATTGACGTTTTGAGCAGCTGCATGTTTGAGCAGCTGCATTCCTCTAGGTCAAAGATGAAAAAATGGGATTTACAATAAAAAGTCATTTACAAAATTAGTGTTATAATTTTGATAATTTATTAATGAGTAATGTCTCTTTTGAGTGAATGTGCAACTTTATGTTAACAGGTTTTTACCATGTTATTACAACATTTAACCACTTTTTATTAATTTAAAAATTGAGAAATTCTTTCAAATTTAAATCTTGTACAAGAACTACAGCAAAAACCAGTTTGATGCATATTTGATCAATATTTTAGAAATGGAATTTTTTCACCAGTACTGACTGATTTAATTAAATTCCTTTGAACACAACTGCTCAAGTAATGTAAGGTCTTTCATGACACTACATATGCTGGGGTGTGAATTTGATAGGTGTTTGATATTAAATAAATGGTGCTTTAAAAAGTTATTGAAAGTCCTTGAATCTGGTGTTCATGAAAGAGTGGGAACCCTGGTGAAAGCACTAACGTCCTGCGTCGGAACGGAACGCCTCCTTCTCAGCATCCAACCCCTTCACATTTCCGCGATGTCTGACATCCAGCCCTGCCTCAACATAGGAAGTTAAGCACGCACACTAACTTTATCAGACCTGTTAATAAGAGGCAATGAGCGAAATAAAACCAAAAGAAGCGCCTGCAGCTGACAAAAAGGAAGCTACAACAGAGGAAAAGGACTGGGCAGCTGCTAAAGCGCACTTTGAAAACCTAAAATCAACGAAACCGAGACCTGTAAGTATTCAGTGAAGTTCAATAAGGCGATATGCTTATACTGTATAGGATTAGTTGCAGGCAGTTTGACAGTCATTGTTTTTGGACGTGTCTTTTAACAGCCCAAGCCAAAATATGCAGTTACTATCGCAGTTTCTTCCCGGTCCTTGTTTGATATGGTGGCGGAAAGGAAGATATTTGAGGAAGAAGCACTGGAGAAGTATGTTCAACATCAGCAGGAGCACGAGAATGAGCCGCTGAAACCAGGACCTGCTTTTCCTTTCGTTAAAGTGAGAATAAGGTTTATCCTCATCACATCGTCCACAAATTAAAATACATTATGTAGGCTAAGTTGGACTTTATTTATAGGCTATATATATTTGTATTTTTTTTTTTAATATAAGGTAGAGTTGGGGGAAACGCCCCCCCTTTATAGACTGTGTCATTTATTATTATTTATTTTTTTGTGTGTGAAACAAAAGTTAAATGTGTCCAGAATAGTTATCATAGTTTTAGTGACAATGACATAAATTATAAACGAAGTATAAAAAAAATATCCAGAGTTTTCATGTTATTAGATTTTTAACAAAAAATAAGTTTGTACCAAGGGGGCGTTTCGACCCCCAGGCAGGGGCACCTTAAGATAACCAGAGGCCCCTGGGCTACAGCATTACGGTAGGCCCCCCTACCCTATGTATATATATATATATATATATATATATGCACACACATACTGTATATATATATATATATATACCTAGTAATTCTGGTAATTCTGACTTTGCTATGACAATCTGGCACTTCTGAATCAGCTACTGTTTTGTTATTAGTTTACGTATTTGCTATTGACTGTTCAAATACGGAGTTTTGCGCATTGTGTATGTGTGTGTGTACGCACGTGTGTGTGAGAGCGAGAGAGAGAGAGAGAGAGAGAGTGTCACATCAAAGTGGAGTCAGCTGTCTTAACCGTGGCTTGTGTACTGCAAACACATACCAGCTTCATCACTGTGTCTGTCACGCAACTCTGTTCCCCTTTCGGGCTCTGTCTTTACATTTATTTTGAAAGATGAAGCTCGCGATTATGGTAAGGGGCGTTACATTTCCGACGAGTGCTTGCGGTGTTCGGCCAATCACAATGCACTGGGTCAGCTGGCCAATCAGAGCAGACTGCGCTTGTCGGAAGGAGGGACTTTGTAGAAAACGAAGCGTTTGAGAGAGGCGGGGCATAGAGGACCTACAATAATGTACAGTATTTGAAAAATAATGTGTTTTTTGAACATTAAAGCATGTCAACATATTCTGTTACACCAAATACACAAAATAATGATCTTTAAAAAAGCATCATATGACCCCTTTAAAATATGAATGTAAGGGAATATGCAAATTCACTCTTTGTCAGAAGTTGGCGTTTGTAGAGCAGCAGAATTATAGCCTTTGCATAAAGTAAACAATATGTTATTACAGGCATTATATGGAGGAAATGCCATCAAATCTTTCCTGGCCGAAATGTGAGTTTACAGGTATGGTTTAAACTCCATAAATTACACAAAATATTCATTATTCACCATCAGTAGAAACTATCACTTGAATGTGGGCCATTTGATGATTACTAACTGTACACATAAAAGACATGTACACAGAATAGATCTCGTGCTAGGTTTCTTTACTAGCGCATTGTGCATTTCGCTCACAGTATATCAGTGGAACATACTAACTATACAACTATGTGGGGGAAACCTAAACGGAACCATTCACTACATATACTACAAACAGAGCGTCGCTAAAAATGAGTGTGTGAGTTTGTTTACAGAATGCTGTTGTCACTGCTGCAAACTCCCATATATACAAACAATTATTCGAAAAATAAAATTTACCTGCAGCCAGATCATATATAACTGATGTTCTACCAAACAACAAGCTTTAAAACACTTTTTTTCTTGCTGCTGAAAATGAGATAACTTGCTGTGAAATCCGTTTTCTCTCAGGTACATCACCAGTGAAAGCTTCATGGTGAATACTTCTACTTCACTCTTGTCAACGTAGTCTATAGTTACAAGAAAAATGCATTTTTATCTAGTGGTTATTTTGGTAAAAACAGTATTTTTTTACTAAAAGGGTGCTTTCTCTGTCACACCCTGTCTATCTACAATGCAAGCGAACAATGTGACAATCTAAGTGTCTGATTCGAGAATCTGTTCTTTTGAATCGGATCTTTCAATGACTCGAATGATCCTGTTCACTAAATCGGTCTGAACGATTGATTCATTACTTGGACTCAGTCTGAGCAGTTCAGCTCAACAACTCATTGACTTATTGTATAGAGAAGAGTGTCTTTCAGACATGTCCATTTTGTAATGATCGGAAAACTGATGAGCGGAAAGCATTTTAAGTTTACGGAGGAACATACAGGTGCATCTCAATAAATTAGAATGTCGTGGAAAAGTTCATTTATTTCAGTAATTCAACTCAAATTGTGAAACTCGTGTATTAAATAAATTCAATGCACACAGACTGAAGTAGTTTTAGTCTTTGGTTCTTTTAATTGTGATGATTTTGGCTCACATCTAACAAAAACCCACCAAATCACTATCTCAACAAATTAGAATACTTCATAAGACCAATAAAAAATTTTTTTTTAGTGAATTGTTGGCCATGTAATATGCCATGCTGGGAAGTCGTGATGATGTAAACGCCATGACATAAAAGAATTGCTGAATCACTGGTTCTTTGAAACCAACTGTTCGAAAGAACTGATTCAAAGAAATGATCCAGAATTCACATCACTAGCACACTTTAACTATAACAATGAAGCTGTCCATTGTAAATGTAAAAGTAATATGTTACTTTATAGCTACTTGAAAAAAGTAATCTGATTTCGTAATTACTTGTAATTTCATGTTACTCCTTACACTGGTCCTAGATGATTAAATAATCTAAATTAAAAAGTTTTTTTAATGTAAAAGAGCGAAAATGGTCATTTTAAACTTGATATCGGGAAAGGCCCAGAAAATAGCTTACATCTGCATTGAAAAATAAGGTGTTTCTTTTCAAGAAAACTGAATTTAAAATGACAATATAAAGGCTTTCTATTTGCAAGCCTCTTGTTAGAGGCTGTTTGCTTGCTTGCTTATGAAAACAAGAGTTTCTTCCTTGTAATATGCACACAGGCACTGATTACTGTAAATGAACGGCTGAGGAATCTCTATCCAGACAGTGAAGAACTGTTTGACATTGTTCTCATGACCAATAATCATGCCCAAGTTGGGGTGCGACTCATGAACAGCATTAATCACTATGGTAGGTGTGTCATTTCACTGCATTCTGATCTGGATGTTACATAAGCCTAGACAAACTGTCATAATTCTGAGCAATCCCTAAAAATTTACAACTGAAGTTGAACTGAAAGTTAGCAGGATCTTGTCTTTTGTGACATCCACCCAACATTAAACACAGTACAATGTACAACAAGGAATTCTATACAGTCAATGCACAGAATGCAATGCAGTTCTACTAGAAGATACAGTAGCTGAGTGGTAAAATTAAAATGTTTCTTTACAGATCTGACAATAGAGCGATTTTGCATGACTGGAGGTCAGAGCCCAATTGAATACCTCAAGGCCTACATGACTAACCTGTATCTCTCCAAAGACTCCAAGAAAGTCCAGGAGGCCATTGAGGAGGGTAAATTGTACCCGAATACACCTCATATTTTAGTAGCCAGTGTTTTTTGCTTTGCAGTAATATTCTGATATTTCTGATATTCTAAAATTTCGTTTATCATGATAGGTATAGCAGCAGCCATCATGTTTAAGCCTGATGTGGAGACCCAGCTGTCTGACACTCAGCTGCGTGTGGCCTTCGACGGGGACGCTGTGCTCTTTTCTGATGAGTCTGAGATCATAGTGAAACAGCATGGCCTGGACACATTCTTTGAGCATGAAAAACAGTATGAGAACAAACCACTCGCACAGGTATGTCAGGTATTTCAACTAGACGTGGATCATGTGACTTTAGTTGTACTTCTATACATGTTGACAGTAGGAGAAAAAATAAAATACAAAGTCTCGGTGTAGCTGAGTAACATTACTTTAGAATATGTTGCGTTCAAGTCCTCCTGGGAAGTTCATATTTATGAATGGGGAAGTCGTAATTAGAACTTAATTAGGTAATTAGATAAAGTAATTAGATGCTAATGTACCTTTTTTGCAAAAAAATTCAGCAAGATTTTTAACCTCTACTTCAACAAAATGATGAATAAAGAATGGGCTTCTGTTTTTTTGTTTTTTTTATGTTTTTCTTCAATTTGTGAAGGTGCTGTAAATTTAATCATATATTAGACAAAGTTGTGTCATGAAACTATAGATGGCGCATGCCGATAGGTTCTAACTCAGCCTGATTGGTTTCTTTTCGCATCAGCAGCCAATGAGCTGCTTAACATTCAAATACTTAGCTAGTGCTTACTGTAGCAGTTGCAGTGCGCTTCAGAAACCCTCCACCTTCCCCAGCTCCACCTGTATAGATCTGCTAAGGGGTAATTTCATGTATGCTATATATGGGTGTTATTTCATATATGTTATATGTGCAGCAGCAGTATTTCTTACATGCTCACAGCAGCATATCTGTGGATATATTGACAGCAGCAAGTCTCAGTACTTGCTCTGCAGCAGCGTAGCAGATCTACTCCGCCAAGACCAAACAATTTAACATTGTCATACCATGCTAATCTCTCTGAGTTGTCATGACAGAACTATCGTAATTGCACAATACTAGTGTATTTTGTATATGTGACGTAGCTATTTTTATTATACATTTAAAAAAAAGGTAATTTCATTCATTTAAAAAAAATTACCATCAATGCAGATGATATGAGTTTGAACTGAACTTTTTCCAAGTTTTTTTTCCAAGAACCAAACTTTTTCAGAAGTTAGTTCAAGTATTGATGTGCATTCAGTTCATAAATACAATCTTTCCAACATGACTTGAACACACTTTTAGTAACCTATAAAGGTCAAATATATTTGGAATTATGTAAAAATAGTCAAGTGAACCCAGAGTGTTTTGCTTTTACTAAAGGCAGTTACATCATTGACCCTTTGACTAGTCGGCTACTTTTTTTGGCGGCTAGTCAACTATTGAAAATGATAAGTCGTGCAAGCCCTTTAGAGAAGATACTTTACATACTGTACAAGTAGTTTTTGTTAATGGACACAGGGGCATTGTATTTATTTAACACCATATGGTTCTCCATAGGGTTATATTTTTTACCATACTTGAGACTCTGGCTGTGGCAAAAGCTGACTAGCAATGCAATGACTTTGCAGGCAAAGGTACCTCAACTGATTTCGGACAGGCTTTTGAGGCAGCAGAAAAGGCCCGTTCACTCCAAGGAGGATAACCATAACGATAGAGATATGGTTTTAAAAATCATTCTGAATTTAAAAGAATAGCAGAGTCCACACCACAACTCTAACAATAACGGCACAGAGGAACTATATCATTGGAATCACTTTCTGAACGATTTTTTCCAGTTGATATACAATAAAAATATTGACAGCCAATCAGAATCCATCCTGCTTTGAAGAGCTCAAGCATTTAAATCGACAGACAACAAAAATAAAGCATATGCATATAAAAAACAGAAAGTTATCGTGTGTTGGTGTGGATGCTATTATAGTTACCGCTGTAGTTATTGTTTTGTGTGAACGGACCTTAACTGTCTAATGATCTAAAACAAAACAGAGCGAGCTGTTTTGCAAATGTTTAATTACTACAATATTAATTTCTCACAACAAATTAAATAAAAATGGAAAAATCTGTTCAAAACATACATTTGCACACAAACTGACCACCAACTGCAACTTTCAGACACCATTTTATTTTTTGACCACAAAAATGTCCAAGATAGTGGAATATCATAGGCAACGATGCTGCATTAAAAAATCGACATATTAAAGTATCTCAGTAGACAGGATGTGACACAATCACTGGATTTGGATGCACCTTGTTGGTTTCCTGTCTCCGTGTGCCGTCTGTGGAGACAGCATTTTTCAGCTTTCGAATGCAGACTTTTTAAAGTTTTAATTGGATGGCTGTGGTTGCTCCAGCATAGGCAGGTGCCTGTAATAGATCATCAGGTTCTTTCTAATCCCATTGGCTGTGTAGCGTCTCGACCAATCTGACACACTAATTTTTATTTGATTTAACAAATCAATTATTCATTAGATTAACAAATCGTCACAGTCCCCTCATTCAATAGACTGGATGCCAGGGCTTCGCTTGAACACCATCCCCCACCTTGATCACCATGACAACACACACTGATCCTCTCTTGTTCATCCACAGGGTCCTCTTAAGTGCTTTCTGGAGGCTCTTGGGAAGCTCCAGAAGAAATTCTATGCCAAAAATGAGCGACTGAACTGCCCTATCCGCACCTTCTTGGTGACGGCCAGAAGCGCGGCCAGCTCTGGGGCTCGTGTGCTTAAGACACTCAGAAGCTGGGGCCTGGAGATTGATGAGGCTTTGTTCCTTGCCGGGGCCCCTAAAGGGCCCCTGCTGCTGAAGATTCGCCCACACATATTCTTTGATGACCAGATGTTCCACATTGAGGGGGCCAAGGAGATGGGCACTATTGCAGCCCATGTACCATATGGGATAGGACAGAAATATAACAAAGGGAAGCTGACTGAACCAGAAAAACAGCAGAAATAAGAGATATTGATGATGTTACAGGTCAGCCATTAAGGGAGTTCAGTATATAGCTTACATTGTTTAGATGAAGATATCGTTCCCTTACTTGCAATGCTTTACGATGGAAACACGTCATAGGAACTGCTGTGTAGAAGTGTTTTCTGAACATATGTATTTTTTTCTCACACAAAAAATTTGCTAATTAAATAGTTTTATTAGCAATAATGCTGGAAAATTATTTTAAGTTTATTGGACATATCAAAGGCTTACTGTTTGATGTTTTGTTACTTTTTTAACTTTTATAATTTATACATATCTATCTATCTATATCTATTTAATATTTTATAATTCTTTATATAGATATATAGATGCTATATATTTATAAGGAATATTTATTTTACGGATTTGTTTTTATGGGGGTTCATATAACAAGATGATTTGCTCTATAGATTAATAAAGGGCTGTTTTAAAATTAGAAAATTAAACAAACACTTTGAAATCTCTTCGGTCGATAGATTTTCATAATAGATATTATCTGGTTGTTCTGAATGCACTGTTCTTATTTTTGAGGAGGAAGGTACATCACTTCAGAATTCATTAAAGTGAGGGTTTCATTATCATTATTTAGGTAAATTTGCTTTCCTCACGTTGCTTGTTTTGCAAATGACAGTTACATAATGTGTTCATGTCTCTACTTGTATTAAAATGATCAAAAACACTATTGTTTGGTATTAAGGTTATGTTGCATGTCACTGAATGACATAATACTTTTTAACACTGTTATGTGATGTCTACATAAGCTCCTAAACTCCAGATGTAAATGCACTGCCATTTGTATGTTTACAAATGTGATCAAACAGTTTCACTAAATGACATTTTATGCTGTGCTGGTTTTGTTTCGGTTTTAGGCTGCTGGGTAAAATTGAATTCCAGACTTGTAATTGGGATAAATAAAGATGTTTAGATAGAAAAAAAAAATGTTTTTTTGAGTCAAGTTACTTATTGGTAAACTCTCATGTCATTCCAAACATGTTTTGTGTCTACTATGGAACACAAAAGGAGATGCTTTGAAAAATGTTTCTGCTGCTCTTTTCCATACAATTTATAGCATATTGTGACCAAAAAGAACCATAAAAGTGGTCCATACAACTTGCACAGAGTGCTATTTAAGTTTTCTAAAGCCATATGATACATCTGTGGCAGGAACAGCTAAACATGTAAGTCATTATTGGCTGCAATCTTAACTTCTACTGTAGTTCTGAAATCTGTAGGTATGGAAAAGAGCATAATTAAGCAACACTAACACAAACAAGAGTGATATACTGTTCTGAACAAGCATAATATTGCTACATCAATAATTGAATACTGAGTGACTTACATTACACACAATATTGGCAGTTATTGTCTGTTTTTTTCTCACCAATGTGCAAACAAAGTCAACCGTTGCATTTCTAATAGGGCTGCACGATAAATCGCATGCGATATTTAACGCGCATCTTGTCAGTAAAGCCGTTCTGTAATCAGCGTAAATCTCCATCACGTGCGGGCTTTCACATGGAGCAGCATTAACTACACAGAGCCGTTGTTCACTGACAAGCTGTGCAAAACATGCACAAAATATGATCGTGGTTTTGCGCAGCTTGTCAGTGAACAACGGCTCTGTGTAGTAAATGCTTCTCCATGTGAAAGGAGATTTACGGCTGATTACAGAACCGGCTTTACTGACAAAATGCGCGTTAAATATCGCATGCGATTTATCCTGCAGCCCTAATTTCTAAGCAACAATGCATTTGAAAATCAGCTTAGCTGACTAGTTGCTTCACTGTATATGATCACTGTATGACTCACACTTAGTGATCACCCTATAACCCAGTGACTTTGGACCACTGGCCCTCGAGGTCCAATTTCCTGCAGAGTTTAGCTTTAACCCTAATCAAACACACCTGAACAAGCTCATCAAGGCCTTCAGGATTTCAAGAAAGTTATATGCAGGTGAGGTTGTTCAAGTTTGGAATTATCGCAAATACGATTTTCCTAGTTGAAAATTGGACATGAAAGTTGTATTTGATTCTCGAGTTTCCGAGTTAGGCAGGCCATAAACTTTAAACATGGCAGAGTGACTGTTAATTTTTATTTGTTTTTTTTACCACAAAGCTACATTACCTTGTCTTATCATTAAAGTGTTGAAGTGTATACCGTGATTATACAGTTAACAGTAAGCGAGTAGGCAAGAATGAACCTGGCTTCCTCCATCATTTCTAATTCTTTACAAAAGCAAAGCACTTGAACAAGACAAACTGAAAATTATGACTTCAAGTAGGAAATATCTGATAGCATGTGAAGAATGAAATACATAACTCATTTTTGGGTCACTTTAAATAACTAACCCTTTAAATCAGCATTGCTTTAATAAAAATCCCTGTACTAATCAGAAGAGGGCACTATGAGACTAAAGTATGTTTGTGCCGTTAATCCAAAAGCCTTGACATCGCCATAGGCCACACTATTTTTCTTCAAAGAGTACATTTACAGAAAAACCCTCCATATTTAGTGAAACGTTTCATATCACAGTTTAAACGAAATTCCAAAGAGTCAACATAACCAAACCTGAAGCACAAGGGGCCAATGTCCCTTCCCAGCCCCTTAAAACATTTGTCCGTTCTCTTTCTGTTGGGCAACAGACTGCCTCTCTTTATGAGCTCTGCCTGTCCTCCAGTTTCCATGGATACTTCAGCACTGACTCCAGGAGAAGTGAGTGGGCTCAGTATGTTTGAGACATAATTAATGACAATGGATTACAGTCAGTGAGCGCCCTGAGCTCCTGCAAAAGAAGCTTAACCTCACATACACTATAATTAGTGTTCATGAAAGGGGACTAAACATAAAACACAGACTCACAGTTCTGGCTGAATTGCGGTATATGCTTTCAGTCAGAGGTGGTGTTTCTGCGGCTGAGGTGACGTGTGTATGTGCCAGTTTGCACGTTCTGGGTATTGGGAGAAGTGTGGCTGCGACACGCGTGGGTGTAATTGCATTAGAAAGTCATGCTTGAGCGCTTGGATATTTCTGAGTGTAACTGAGACTGAAACATGAATTTTAGTTAGGTGTTATTGGTGATGTTGATACAGCGTATGGTGCATTCAAAATGGTCACACTTTGTGATTAGAAATCATTTTTGGATTTGCATCAGTTCAAACCATTGTATATGTTAGTGTTTGTATAAAAAGACCAAAAAATGATTCAAGTGATCCAGTTCCCAAACCGGTTTAAATGTGAACGCTAAATGGAATACACAATGGAACAAAGAACTGTTTCACTTACATTTTTTATGTTTTTTCAAATTATTATTGCACTGTTTATTTTCACATAGCATCAATATTTTGGTTATTATAACTTCTATTATTAATTATGAAACATTGGTTTAGTACAGGTAAGTTTTTGTACAAATTTTGTACATTTGGTTATTATAATTGTATTGTTTTCCTTTAAAATAAAAATAAATAAAAATAAAAAATATATATGTTGCTTTTGTAAGGATGCGAACATTCTAGAAGTTTCTGTAACATTCTGTAACACTCTAGTGCTTTCTGGGATTAGTCATAAAAGCCAAAAATCATCCAGTGTACACTTCTGAAGTTTCACTTTTGATGACTGTTTATGTCAAACTGTTGTTAGCTCAGTATTATGCACAATTTGTATTATTTTATTAATTCATAATTTTATTATGCATGATATTTTGCATTTTTTATAACAGATTAGATTGTCTAATTTGTCAGCATTTTTTTTTCATGAGCACTGTTAATGATACACAAAAAGTAATGTGATTTTCATATTCAGCATGTCAAACTTGAACTGTACAAATAAAAGGGAAACAAAACCTACAGTGTTATTAGTGCTTCAATAAAACATGCGGAAGCATCTTGAAACAGATCTGAAATACTATTTCTGTGAGCCCTTGAATGTTGATTACGTTTACACTGTAAGCCAAACCCACAGATTGAGCAGACTAGAGTTTTTCCCTCACATTTTCTGTAATGTAATGTAATGAAATGCATTCAGGTCAGACCAACCCTCGTTTCACCTGTGGGACTCCCAGAGCACAATGGTTTCCAGGTCAACAGGAATCAGAACCAGTAGTCAGTAAAACACCATGACAGCATGTCTTTTACAGTGAAGCCTTTTAAAAGATTCATAAAAGCATGATTGACAGCTCTAGTTTCCAGCGCTCGGTGGGTTCTCCTGAATTATATTTAAATCTGGCTCAGTACGACACATTGACTATGCTGCTTCTTGGCTTCTACAAAAAATCATGCCTGGTCCAAAAAGGCCAGCGCTCCCCTATGATCCAAAGCACCAAGCCCCACCACTCTGGGACAACTTGTCTTATGTCTGTTATTTTCCCACATTTCTAGGCAATGCTGCAAGGTATGGAGCTCCTGCGGGGGAGGGGGGATTAAAACAGTAATGATTTACTGTTTTAATCCCGACAACATTACCTGTAATAAATCAGCCTGCTGGTGTTTTCAAATGCAGCCATCTTGAGATTGTGCCTTTGGATGATAAAGGAAGGATTAAAGGGAGCACTGAACATATAAGCAAGGCCGTTTTCTGAAGAACACACAATATGATGAGAGATAAGCAGTGCGTTAGCAGAATAATCTTCTGGGGCTCAGAAAAAAAAAATCTTTCAATATAGGGCTGAGTCATTATACAGTTTAAAGCATAAGAAACATGATTGTTTTGTCCTCTGTTTAATGCAAGGGAATTAAATATGTTTTTCACTGACAAGTCAGCAATTTTTTTCAGTAAAAAAAATAAATAATGTAATTTGTAACAATGGATTCACTAAAGTGTTCAGTAAGAATTTCGTTAGTATTTTTCAGCACAGAAATGTCAACTTCCGTTACATGAACCAAACCTCTTTATTTGTATTAATGCACGATTTGTATTAATATGGACAATAAATAAATAAAGATAATAAATAGTTTTATTTTTTTTTTTGCATCAAAATATGTTTTCAAATAATGATTTACAACATTTTAAGAAAAAAATATTTTATTTAAGTGTGAAAAATACATACACTACCATTGAAAATTTTGTGGTTGGTAAGATTTTGATACAGTTTATGCATACATCATTTATTTGAAATAGATTTTTTGTAACAATGTAGAAGTGTCTGTTGATTAATGCATACTTACTGAATAAAATTATTAACCTCTCTAAAAAAAATCGTATTTTTCTGCTTATATAACCCGCTGATTATTCAGTAGAATTCTTTTTTAAAGCAATCAAATATAAATTATAGTATATATC